AGAGAGAGAGAGAGAGAGAGAGAGAGAGAGAGAGAGAGAGTGTGTGCAAATGCCCATTAAGGCCAGAGGACAGCACCAGAATCTGTGCAACTGGAGTTACAGACAGGTGGGAGACACCTGGTATGGATGCTGGGAACTGAACTCAGGTCCTCTAGCATGAGCAGCATGGGCTCTTCACAGCTGAGCTGTCTCTCTTGCCCTCATCAATTAACAGCAGAGGCCTGCTGCTCTCCTGAAAGTGGTTGTGTTATAATGCTCAAGAGAAAAACATTTCTGTTTCCCACCAACTGGCACTACTCTCACATTCTATGACACCACATTAGAAAATCTCAGAAGCAAAAGTCAGAGTGACATAGGTGCCAAGGACAACTAAGGAAAGGTTTTCTAAAATATTTTTAAATTATGTGGATGTATGTGTCTGTCTGGGAGTATGTGCATACGTGAGTGCAGTACCTTCAAAGACAAGAAGAGGGCACCGCAACTGAAGCTAGAGCTATAGGTCATTTTGAGCCACCCAAGGTGGGTGCTGGAAAATGAGCCCAGGTTCTCTGCAAGTGCAGCAAGTTCATATCTTTCAGGCTCTGAATTGTGTGTGCAGCATTCCTATGTGACCATTTAAAAGTATAAAACTTGGGGTTGAAGGGACAGATTACTTGGTAAAATACTTGCTGTGTAAGCATGGGGGTCTGAACTGAGCCTCACAACCCACATCACAAAAGAAAAGCTGGGCATGGTAGCATGGGCTGTAATCCCAGAGCAGCAAAGGTAGAGAGAGGAGCATTCTTGGGCATCACTGGACAGCCAACCTAGCTGAACTGGCAAGTCCTAGGTCAGTGAGAGACCCTGGCTTAAAAAAAAAAAAAAAGTTAACAGCAGCTAAAAGATACTCGTGGTTATGCTCTAGTCTCCACAGGCATGGGCACACACACTCGAGCACCCCGCTACACACATGCAAGTGTGAGGACACACACACACACACACACACACACACACACACACACAAACTAAAATTACAGAACTCTTTTTTTCTGGGGAAGATGGTCTTTCAAAATAGGGTTTCTCTGTGTAACAGCCCTAACTGTCCTGGAACTTGCTTTGTAGAACAGACTAGACTGGCCTCAAGGCACAGAGATCCATCCACCTGCCTCTGCCTCCCAAGTGCTGCGATTAAAGTCATGTGCCAGCACGTTCAGTGAAATCTTTTATTTTTAAAACATTTTATTCATTGAGTGTGTGTGTGTGTGTGTGTGTATACATGCCATGGTGAGTTTGGGGAGGTAGAAGACAACGCTTGGGAGTCAGCCCTCTCCTTCTACCATGGAAGTCCCAGGGATTAAGCTCAGGTTATCAAGCTTGGAAACAAGATTTTTACCCACTGAGCCATCTCAAAGCACATTCAAAGCACAAGCCTTGCTGTTTAAATAACAAACTTCATGGTTTACTATCTTGCCCATGTATCTACTTGAACGATTTTTTCAAAGTCATTGTCAAGGTCAGTTTTCTCTGCTTCCTCCTCTGGGTTAAAAGCAGAGAAGCCATTCAGAAGAGGTTAATGGAAAAGACGGTGACATTCTTTTTGTGCCTGTGTATAGTCTTTAGTTCACCTCAACATTTTTTTTTCAGCCCCAATTTTTCATCATGCATTTTCGTTTTCTTTGATTGTCCTCAGGCCACTTAACATGAACTCTACCCTCTCCACAGAGTTTCAAGTGCACAACACTGTACTGTCAACTACAGACTGTTCATTAGATCTCTAGGACTAAGCTATCTTGCCCAGATGAAACTCTATTCACATTTACCATGGCATGGGTAACTGATGGGCAAAAGTATAGATGCTAATAGTTGGGTCTCATATCTTCCTGTAAGCAACAGTTGTCTAATTGAACTTAAGACTCACTCAGTAGGAGGGAAATCATGCCTGATATTGGAAACCTAGCCAAATATCCATGGCTGCAGCACAAGTTCTAATTGACCTTAATAATAAAAACCTAGAGTCAAATATTGGGGGGGGGTGAATGTGGAAAGAACAGAGAAGCAGAGCAGCCAGCCACTAGAGAGCTCCTTTCTCCTCCCACCTTATATTCCTCTCTCTGCCCAGCCATATCACTTCCTGTCTGTACAGACCTCCAGACCTCTATGGTTAACTAGTGATAGCTCCACCCTCTGATTTCCAGGCAAGCATTATTTGTTACATTACAAACTAGATATCACCACACATGGATCTTAGAGGAAAACCCCCCCCTGCCACTTTACTAAATCAGCACAATTCCTAACTGCATCTTAAATAATCATCCGTTTACACACAGGTAATTGGAGCTCTCATTCATCATCAAACAAACTTCCCTTTGCAACAGATGGAGACTATTACAGAAGATGATAATTGGTCAAAAGCACAGAAAACAACTCATTGTGGGGTGCCCAGCCCCAACAGACACAACCCTGCCACCTAAAGCTCTGAAAACATTGTGGAAGGTGGGGCAGAAAAGCTCTAAGTACCAAGAAATCTGCTGTGAGACAGGGGTGTTTCACTCATGATACCTCGCCATATGGCCTCCTAAACAAGACCTGAACAAGGGCAATGCTAATAGACATGCTCACCTGGAAGGAAAAAAAATCTCACAGGACTACACCCATAGACACAGAACTACAGTCAACTAAGAATTGCTGAGAACCAGAGAAACAGTCTTCCCTAGGGATGAGCCACCACACCACCAATTGGTTATCCAATACCAAGCGTTCCATCCTGAAATCATATACATATACAAATGTCTAAGAAAATTTCTGGTCTCCCAAGGTGTGGCAGCAAATACCTTCAATCCCAGGAGTTGGAACAGGAAAACCAAGAAGTCAAGGCTAGCCTGGATATCACATGAGACCCTGTCTCAAAGATCAAACTATGAACGAAATTCTCAAACAACAAAAAAAGAAAGTAACAGAAAGAATCCGACAAGTAAAGGCTTCAGTACTGAACTGGTACCATCCATAACGAGGCAATGGATGATGACAAGCTTAGGATATGCCTTCAGATGGAACTGTGGGGCCTCAGGCTCTTTCTCTTTACTTCCTGGCTAATGATGTGATTGGTTTTGCCTCCTTCTCTTGCACTCCATCTAGCTTCCCTACCAGATATCAAAACAATGGAGCCTCTTGCCAGTGGGTTGGTGTCTCCAAACTATGAACTAAACAAGTACTTTATAAGTGGAAAACCTCAAGCTATTTTTTATAGTAACAGGGAGCTAACCAATACAGCCCCAGAAGACCTCTTTCCATAGTTAAACTGGCAAAAAAGAAGTATAAGACTACAGAAAACAAAGAGTTAAAAGACAGTATTACATCCTTCACTGTTAATATTTCAAATGGCAATGGGCTTGGCATTATTCATTCTTAAAATGGCTTCTGTGGAAGGAAGTAAATAGAATTCTGAGAAAAATGGAAGGAGCCAGTCCTGTGTCTGAGCATTTCCTTAGCTGTGGTCAGAGGGTAAAGAAGCCTGGAGAAGGTCAATGTCACTGCAAATCCCAAATACACCTTCAAAAATGTGAAGATGTGCTTTGCAGATCCAGGGCAAACACGCAGAAGGTCTATTCTGTGAGGAGCTGCATGGGTATCCCTATGTCTGGGATCCTGGCCCTTGTTTTTATATGTCGCCTTTTTTAGGAAAGTTGTGTACAATATTGGATGTTTTCTAACAGCATGTTGATGACTCTCTCTCTCTCTCTCTCTCTCTCTCTCTCTCTCTCTCTCTCTCTCTGTGTGTGTGTGTGTGTGTGTGTGTGTGTGTGTGTGTGCTTTGAAAAGCAAACAGCACATCTCCCAAGCTAGGAAGAACAGCTGTTTCCCACTTATGAACATCAGAAAATAGTCCATTTCCATTTGTTACCCTGTCTAAACTCATGAGCATCCAATACTTGGTGACTCAGAAAAATATCATCTATCTTCACTCTGGCATAGAGAGAGAGAGAGACTCAGGACAGAAAATGAGCAGACTTCTCTCCTGGTCTCTCCGGTATCACCTTAGTTTTAAAACTCAAATCTCCTTGTAGAGAGAAAAGCACCTCAAGCCCAGAGCTTCCTTGACTTAATGAGGGCATGTTCCTTCCAAGCTAAATTAGTAAACTACTAATTTAGTAGTAGTCTCTACTCCCAGAGGTGGCATCAAAGCAGTTCCAAGCATTCCTCAGAAGCTGTAGGGAAGACAGCAGTCACCTGTACCCTCATGGTTGGGCATAAAGGAGGGATGGGCTTTCCAGTACTGACATTGGGAGAGTGAGACACACAGCATGGTGTGACCCATGGCATTCACTTACTATGCAGCTATTCCCAAATTAAGTCCTGTCTGAGGTGGTTAGCATTGAGTGGGTCACAGGATCTACAGTCACCTAGCAGATGAGCCTCTGCACAGGTCAATTAGACTTTCTTGAATTGACCAAGTGAGGAGGAAAGGCCTCCCTTAAATTTGGACAACACTATTCCATGGCTTAGAAACCTGGACCTAATAACAAGGAAAGAAGTTAGCTGTGCATCGGCGTCCGTCTCTCTCTCTCTGCTTCCTGACTGTAGACACAGTGTGACCAGGAGGCCACACTCCTGTCCCTATCCCTTCTCCATCAGGATGGACCAAACC